AGGTTCTACTTCTTTAGGGAACGGCTGGGAGATATCAGTGGCCCAGCACCTGGAGGCCCAGGGATCCTAAAAATGTGGGAAGTTGAACTTGGGATACCTCATCTCTCTGGAGAAAAGAACTATCCCAAAACAATGAGAGCCTATGGCTCTTCCTGCTGGGGAGAGGTGGGTTTCTCAGAGCCTACTATGCTACCTTGTTGCCTGACAACTCAGAAGGAGCTCTGGGGCCAGGGTCATTTGTATGTCCCTTTATGTGTCATTTACACGAAGGCAGTTTACTTTTAAAAGTTTGCCATTCATTCATAACAGGAAATGTTTTTGGTTTCAAGCGTGAGAGTGAAGCCAAAGATGCAGCAATTGACAGGTCAGATAGCTTATGCAATTTTCCTTTTAGACCGTAACATTGCCAAAGAGTCTGTCCCTTTCCCTAAGTTTTGTCTAAAGCCTTGCCCTCCAATGCAAAAAGATGCATTCTGCATCTCATTTTCTCTTATCTTTCTATCTCTATAATTAATATATCTTCTATAAAATGAACATGGTGGAATTGACAGACTTTATGGATCCTTTCAGAGCACAAATCTTGCTACATGAACATTATGATTATTGTTTTGTGTGAAAAGACACCATGAAAGAGGCCCTTCTATTTAAAAAAAACTCAGGCCAGAAGAAAAGCCCTAAGTGGAGGACAAAAGAGATTTCATCGTCTTGAACTCAGAAGCTTCCAGTTGTTTCTGAGGCAGATCCTCAAGGTGTGGTGTTAGCCTGATGCTCTCTCATCACAGACATATCAATCACTAGGAAAAGGAATCACAGGTGAGATGTTGTAGTGCAGGCTAGGATGCAGCTGTTTCAAGACAATGTGACTTTTGAAAGAAGATAAACTATTTAAGTTCTAGAAGCACCTAGGAAGATAGACTTGAAGGTTATGTTTTGGAAATCAAAGCCTAACTCATTATTTCTGTTTTTTTCCCTCACTGGTTTTTCTTGGGATTTAAATTTTCAAAGTCCTCTCACATTATGGCAGTTGTGCTAAAGGGAACCAGTGATATTTTTTCTACTCACATTAACTGGGATATGCAGTTATATCATGGGGGGTAAAAATAGCATCTCAAAATAGTCAGGCCCCATATCCTATAACTCCTGGCCCTCTTTCTGAAATATACAAAAATCTCTGATGTGACAGCTCTGCCCTAAATAGGTTTTCCAAACTTTAATCTTAGAGATGGGCTGGGGAGTCTCAAATAATTTCCTTCCTAAGTCCTCAAAACTATCTGAAAACTACTGTACTCCTTCCCAGAGCTATGCCTATTAAAGGGAGCCCAAGACAGGTGGTGAAATGGACAAAAAGTGTGGGATCAATTAAGATCTACTCTAAGGATTCCATGAAGAAAAAATTATTAGTCTAAAGTGACTTTTGACTTTTCCTAGACTGAGAAGCTTCTGGCAGCTTCTTTGGCTAAAAGGTGAATTTAGGCAGAGTTGCAGAGTTGTGCCAAACCTAGCCACACACTCTGGCCTGACTGGTGCACTGAAGAAGGGTACAGAGAAGTGGCTGGCTATGGAGAAAAGATGTGAAGAGGCTGGTCAGCACCTGTCCCTCAGCTGCAGAGCTGCCAGACTTCCTTGCAGCCTTGTTATGAAGGATCAGAGTCCCATTCTTTAGTAGGCTGTTTCTGTATAGCCTATGCATCCTCTTCAGAAACAGGTGAAAGGACATTCACCTGTTCTGTATACTCTACTGATCATCTCTATGACCTTTGTACTTAGAAGACTGCAAAATAAACACTTGACCAAATAGTTGAAGACATAAAAGAATTCTTTACAATAAGAAAAGAAAATACAAATGTTCCTCAAGTATGATGTTCCTCAAGTTATGATGGAGTTATGATGGAATTCCTCAATAAATCCATCATATGTTGAAAATACATTCAAAGTACCTAACTTATCAAACTAAATATCATAGCTTAGTCAGTCCTATTTTTACATAGGCTCAAAGCCCTCAAACTAGCCTACAGCTGGACAAAATCATCTCACACAAAGTCAATTTTATAATAAGCTGCTTTAATAACTCATAAAATTTATTGAATACTGTACTGAAAATGAAAGCCGGTATGATTATATGGTTATGCTTTCCCATCAAGTTGAAAAATTTAAGTCAATTATAAATTGGAGGTCATATAATTGTTTTTGTAAGATGAGTGATTTTCTTCAAATTTTTCTGATTCTAAATCCCATTTTACATTAAGCAATGGGGGACAATTGTTAAGTGTTTGATCTAGGAAGTGGATGCGAAATCTGTCTCTTTTTAAGAAATGCATTTATGTTACATCTTTGGAGCTAAAGGCTCAGAAGAAAATTTTACAATAAAGAGAGCTCTAAACTAGGGATATCAGATTTAAACCCAGTCAGGTAACCTTGAGAGAAATATATTAAACCTTTTTCCTCTTGCCCATCTGCAAATTGGGATAATAACAACTGACCTACTTATTGCACAGAGGTGTCAGTATTTTTCTGGCCATAAAACAAAATGGTTGCTATCATATGAGAGAGAGAGAGAAAGGAGAGCACAAAAGGAAAGAACTTGGCTTCAACTCAGAAAAAGAACAAGAGCATATAATGCATAGAAGGGAAGTAATGAAGACACTAGTTATGGCCTTGGTAGAAAAGAAGACCAAAAATATCCAGAGCAACAAGAGATTCTTTTAATAGACCGAATCAGCTTGTTTGGACCTAGCTGGCTGGTTGAGCAAATGCAATCTTTCTTCAGAATACCAAGCAAAAAAACTCTCCTCTCATTAACTTTGTCAGATGTGGGTCCACATCTCTTTTCAGAGATAACCACTGATATTTGTTTGGAACTATTCTTCAAGAACATTCTTATGCAGTTACAATGATATATGTCCATGAATATCTATATCAGAATTTTAAAACTTTACTGAGGAGACTAAGTTTCACAAATACATTGCTTTTATTGTATTTATTGATCACTTTTGATTTATTGCATTTCATACCATTTTGTCAGTTTGAACTCTGTTCTGTATCTTTTATTTTGCCTTTACAAAAATCTTATTTTCCTGTATCAAAGATTACTCAGATTTTATTTTTCCTATTCATACTTGGTATTAGGATATCTCACTCTGTGAAGGTTTACCTTTTGTCTGTTTTATTCTGTCTATTCTTTCTGGCAGCAATGTTTGCTATGAATTGAATAAATCACTATTTGCTTTTCATTCTGATATAATCCATGAGAAAAGTATGAGCAATTCCTCCTACCTCATATTTCAGAATTGCTCGGTTGCTGAGATTATTTTGTTGTATTGCTTATCCTATCCTTTTTCTTTTACCATTTTAAATACCATTGCAGAAAATAGGTCAAGCAGAGAGATTCAAAACACAGTTGCCATGCCCTGAGCTGCTACAAGAAATAACAATACTGACATAAATACACATGTACAGAATGGAAGTAATCTGGCATCTCTAATGCCAGCTGGTTGGCATTTGATACTACTGTGAATCTGAGCCATGCCCATCTACCACCCTCTCTATCACAAGCATTCATTGGACAGAGAAACTCAGGCTGACATGTGGGATCAACACATTTATGAGCTAACACAAGATTAGTGCTAAGGCCAAAATATTTCAGCAGCCCTCATAAACGTCCTAATTTCTTTTAAAACCAGAAAGAGAAAGACATGAATGTTAGGTTTAAAAAAAGTTTCATATATAATAGTAATATATTAATATATTCATCTTTGTATTAACACAGCCATATAAATTTTAATTAAAATTCTTTAATGTTTTTAAAGCATAGTTTTAAAAAGTTTTAAAGGAGCCTACAAAGGTGAAAGGTCCATGAAAATCAACATTCAGACCTTTTGGCAAGAGCACATCAAAATGCTGCAGTAGCCCATGCCACATACCTGAAGCATGAAAGGAAATCCTAACAGGATAAAAACTAAAGTTTACTTAGTTAAAAAATTCAATATTAACATGACTAGTACTGTCTGGGTGAGGCCAACACCTGACTGCTCTGACCTGGGTTGGCCACAGTATGTGCAGTCACTAAATCCCTATTCACTGGTTCTGGCCTTGACCAGATGAAGCCCTGGCTCTTGACCAGCTTGGGCGTGCTGAGAGAAATTGTATTTTCTAGGGAACTAACTGCTGGATGCTCCATCTAGGTGTCAGTTACAGGGGCTTTCAGTAAATATTGTGTGAATCATCTTTATCACTCTGGTAAGAGTGGAAGCTGGTGTAGAATCACATATTAGTATAAATTATGTAAGGATAGAGGTGTAGCTCAGTAGGAGAGCCCTTGCCTAAAAGATACAAGACATTGACTTTTATCCCCAGCACCACCAACAAAATTATTGTATATATTGTCTCACAAATGTTCTTTCTCTGAGAAAATTTGTATGAGAAATGAAGAAATAAATATAAATATGAATTTCCTCAGAGGAAATATATAGTGCTTCTCCTCAATTATTTCTAGTTGCTTCTCATTGCCTTTTCTTCTCTCCTATTTCTTCTTTGGTACCTCTTCTCCCCTTCCATGAAGTCGGGCATCTTGGAACAAAGTTTGAGGGAATCAGAACCAATGGAAATATGATTTCTGCCTTCTCAATTAGGTCACTTCCGCTTCTTCTAATTTCTTTCCTGAAACAAAGGATTGGAACCAGACAATTTCTGCCCATGTCTTTCGGGAACAACAGATCCATTCTTCTACCTCCTCCTCTTTTTTCTTTTTCGGTTTTTAAAGGGCACAGTATCTGAGTTCCTACCAGCTTGAGGCCTGTTTATTCCCTCTGAGGTGACAGCCAGAAGCAGTCCCTATACAGTGGACTTTGCCAATGTGCTCACATTCTTTCCATTTCAGTGTCACTAAAGGCATTCTAACTGTTTAACACTCTGCTGTTCTTCCAAACAGTTCTGTACCATAGACATGACCTCAAATTTATTTGCCATGAGCTCTCTGATTGCAGCATGACTTGGAAACTTGACCTTTTCTTCTACTAGTTAGAAGCAGGAGTTTTGTTTTGTTCAATAAATAAATATGTAGCTTCTCTTGCAGGCAGGCAATAGGGAGAGGGTTTAGGCTATGATTAATGAACTGTTTGCTTTTGAGTCAAGAAAAACTGGCCAATTTGGACATAGTGTGGCCCTGCAACCTGATGCTGAGCAACCCACAGAAGCCCTATGGAGTTATGACACCCTATACCCCTCATCAGGTTATGCTATTGAGATTCTGAGGAGCCCAACAATATCTCAAAAATAAAAAGGTATGAGTTCAATTTTTCCCTCCCCACTAAATGTGTTTGCATGTTAAGAAAAGGATTAGTCATACAGGTAAATTATACAGGTATCTCATATCACAGAATTATTTTAAGAAGGTGGGATCTTTACACAGTTTTCACAGTTTTACCTTTTACAGAATGTCATACACTTGGAATGATATAGTATATAACTTTTTTCAGGTTGGTAACTTTTACTTTGCAATATGTATTTAAATTTTCTCCATGTCTTCTTGTGGCTTAATCATTCATTTCTTTTTAGCACTGAATTATAGTTTATCAGCTGGATGTAACACAGTTTATCTTGTCACCCATTGAAGGATAATTTCAGCAATATAACTAAGGCTGCTATAAACATCTGTGTGCAGGTTTTTGTATAGACAATTTTATACTTTTTTTTTTACTGTGACATAATTTTACATTATGAGGATATGCTATAAATTTTTCTACAATTAAAAGCATTGTAGATTATTCCCAGGCTTTTGCCACTAAAAATTGTGCTTCGATGTGTAACCTACAAGTGGAATTTCTAGGTCACAGGGTCTAAGCATGTTGTAATTTTGATGTATATTTCTAAACTGACCTCACAGAAGTTGTAAAAATGTACTCTCACCAGAAATGTGTGGGAGTGCCTGTCCCCTATGGCTTCTGTTGTTCTTTCCCAGCTGAAACCCTTATTCATCTGTTCCTTCCCACGCCCCTTGCAGGAAGAACAGGCCAGCTGTCCATTGGCCCTATACACTAACAGTCATGTGTCTTTCTTTTTTGTCCATTGATTGTCTTGGTCTTGAATTCAAAGACCTTGGAAGGTAGAAGTAGTGTTCTCTTCCAAGTATCTTCTGTTAGTGGACTTTCAATAAATATAGGTACTGCTACTGAGATATTTCAAAAAGACCCTAAGTTTAAAAGACAAAATAATTATATATTTAGCAAAAAAAATTTCCAATGAGTACAGAGGTGGCTAAGCATGGTGTTATGAAGGTCCTTTGAATATTTTCTGTGATATTCGTTCCTCAGAGAAAGTCATAAAATGTGGAAACATAAATATCTCTTAGAATATTCTCCTCCTTGTCTTTTGCGATAGAACTGTTTGCTAAAAATTTCTGAAAATTCAGCACTATTTGCTGAATTTAATTGGGCTGGAGGTTCTTTGAACATGGGCATTAAGGAGAGCCCAATTTCCAACTTCTCATGCTCATGATCTATAGTAAACTGATCATGTGGTGTTAGATCATCTTCCATTGTGAGATCCTTGAAATTCATTGTCATCATAATGGCAGTCTTGTCGCGAGCACCGATTTACGTTTCGGGATCCCACGTATATTAATCGACTGCAAGTGGCTTTTCGAGAATAGTCTCATTTATTATTACATCATCAAACGCACACATACAAGAGAATATGAAGATAAGCATAGTAATAGTCAAAGGAATGTAAGCAGTATGCCAGCCCAAGGTAATCGGGCTGGCACCAAGGTTGGCTAGGGTCATTGCGGGAAAGAGCCCTGGTATACGACCTGAGTCCGTGGCGCCTGTGGTGTTGGACGCGGCAGGGTCGCGCTGCGACGTGCTTCAAGGTCTCATGATGTTCTCCGGCATCTGACGTCTCGAACGGGAGAGCGTCTCTGGCAGAGTGTCTGCGTCTCGGGCAGAGCTTCGGCGGGTCCACTTGACGGGTCGTCAAGGACGGACGTGGGCGGTCTGTTCCTGGGGTCTTTTATACCTCTTCTTGTCATTATCACACGTTTCACACATTGCTATCACTCCAAGCAGGTTGTAATGACTTCACTCTAGCTTGTCACACTCTTAACACACTTAGTATGATCTCACTGTAAACCTAATCACTTCAAACCACTTCAAGCTAACACTCAAGCTGCGTTTCTTATCTTGCCTGCTACCTGCAGCATGGGAATTTCCCCTTGCTGCTTCCATGTTCACTACACACTCTATATGTAGCCAGGTAACTCTCCAAGCAACCCAGTTGTGGAGAAAGCATTTCAGGCTCAGTCAACCATTTCTCAGCCTGGGTTGTGTTGAACGCATCTATGTATGTCAGGCAATCTCCAAGGTGATTGATTCTTTAAACATCAAAGCCTGGGGTTCATTCTTTTGTGTAGTTCCCCTGGTGTAATTCCATGTAATAGCAAGTGGATTTCATGTATTCCTTTGTTTTGTTTTCCCTCATTGAGTTTATTGGTACATTTTAGGTATATAGTACAGTTGCATTCATCATTGGGATCTTATACCTTTACATGTCATGTCTTCCTTTGAATAGAATATGAGAGAAGTGATGGGATGATACTTCCAAGATTAGGTTATAAATGACCACAGTCCTGTTTGAGGGTCACTCATCTCTCACTGTCTCTTTTATCAATCCTTCCATTTGGTGAAAACCAGCTTCCATGTCTAAATCCTTCACCAACATCTTCAATGTGGCCTTTTCAGAGACTCAGAGTCAGAATAACCCAGCTAAATAGCTCCTGAATTTGAAACCCTTTGAAACTATGAATTAATATGAGCCTATTGTTTCAAAGTACAAAGTTTGAATATAATATGCTAGCCAACAATAATATAATTAATGAATCTTGCCATTAGAAATTGTCTCAGCTTCTATAGAGAGCATTACAGAGATGTTCAGGAGATTTACATGGCCACTGACCTATCATACTCTTTAACAAATAATGTAACTGTTTTTTCTCTTTTCCAATTTAAGAGATAGCACCAATTATGTGTTTGAAAAGATTAATATATTTTAAAAGAAGAGTAAGAGTTTTTTTCATATCTTTTGTATCCTAAGAGAGTTCATAATTTCAAGAAAAAATTCTTCCAGTTTCTTAGTACTGTAGCACATAATCAGTGACTTCTTAGTAAATGTTTAAAGGTTATCACCAAATAATAATTCTTAAACCTTTCAAGGATTTCTGAATATAGTGAAAATATTTTAGTACCATTGATTCAATCATACAGATAGCAATAGATTAATGAGCCAACCTCAGAGAAATTTTGAATGCTACTCATTGTGTCCCCAGCACTGCAGTATTAAGTTATGTAATCTTTATAAGTTAGATATTTACAATACCTTTCAGATTTTATACCCTTAAAAATGCATACAAGGTTAAAAAGATTTGATACAAAAAAATGTATGAGAACTTGAGGAAATGTGGGATTCACCTCATTAGTCACATGATCACCTCTATATTCCTGCATTCCACATGCTACATCATGCCCAGGGAATTAAAGTTACCAAAAAGATGCTCTTTGGGATGCCTACCTAAGATCAAAGGAACTGTCTTTTCTTTGTTGTTCTAGCAACTATTAATCACAAAGGGGATAATTTGATCGAGCCTGTTTGTATCCATACAGTAAGGAGCACTCCTTTGGTCAATATCTTGCCCACCCTCTTCAGAAGCAATTGGTTTACTTCATGTTTTCCAAAATGGTAACTGATAAATTGCTTTTTTATTTAATTACCTGTAACTAGACCAGAAGGCTTAGTTTCATTTAAGGAAAAAAGAATGGCACAAGTCATATTTTATATTGTAAAAAAAAAAAAATCAAAACAAAACATTAAGACCACTTTCCTTGAAGAGTAGCTACGTTAGAGAAAGCATTCCAAGTTTTATGATTTCTGTTACAGACCATCTGGTACATGGTATGATAGCACTGTATGATAGCATAGTATTGACAGCAATAATCTTGTATATTTACTGTTAACCATGACTCTCCTATTTAGCCAGCTATAGAGGAAAAATCTATTGCCTGCAGGGAGAGAGGACAGACTATAGAGAGTAAAACTAAAACAATAAGTCTTGCCCTTGCGCTACAAAATCTGAGGTCCAGATGTGAAACAAAAGACAGGAGAATGTATGATCAGACAGTGAATTTTTTGCCTTTGGGATACTAGATAAAAATACCCTGGACTTGGTGTTATGGCTTGTATGTTGTTGTGCCCCCAAACCCTTATGTGGTAATAGGTGGGCCTTTTGAAGATTGCTGAATCTAGTGTGTGTGATGCTTGGGATTAATCCCAACTTGGATGTGAGTGTTACCTGCCCTGGGTGGGTAGGCTGGATGGAGTATAAGGGACAGAAAGAAGGCTGCTGCTGCTGCTTCTGCTTCACCACTTCATTGCTTTGCCGCCTTCTGTCTACCATGAACTGTTTCTCCTCTATATTACCCTTGTGCCATGTCAACCTGCTTTAGAGCCAGCTGACTATGGACAGAAACCTCTACAGACTGTGAGCTGAATTAAACCTTTCCTCCTTTGACTTCAGGTTTTGAGTATTTTTGTCTCAACAATGAGAAAAATAACTAAGACACATGGAAATGAAGACAGTAAAAGGAAAGTAAACTAAGGGAGTCTGAGAAAGGATTACATGCTCCCTTCTGCTCAGGTCCAAATCCAAAAGAAAAAGCAACAAGTCTGGTGAGACCTGGGTGGAGCCTGGAAAAGCTGAAATAGGACAGATATCTTCCCCAACCTGGATGAATAGAACAATACTAGATTGGAGTAGGCAGCCCAGGGGGCTGGGCCAAGGGAGCCTGAGGCAGATACCAGGATAGAGAATATTGAAGAGAGCTATGCTTTCTCAGGAGGCAGTAGACCTGAAGAATCTTCACTTTGGGACAAAGAAAGATGCAGAATGACTCTACTGGACTTTTCATTAAAGATCAGATGGGAAACCATTCTTACATGAGTATATCAGGCAATGTCTGAGCACCAGTATAACTAGGAATGTTATAGAAGATGTTCTTGCACAGATGGAAAACAAAAATTAGTCAACCTTCCTGACCCTTTTCGATTTCTCCCCATCCCCATTTCTTGATGGCTTGAGATTCTAAGAATTCTGATATGATTCCAGTGAGAAACATTAAGAAAGTCAACAAGTTGACTCTAAGTAGACTTGGGAAATCCTAAAGTGAATGACAGAGCTATAAAGTGGCTGAAATGAAGTACCATCTTTTAGGCAAAGTAGAGGCTTGGCCAGACTTTCTTTCAAAAACACATAAGTATTTAATTTTGTGAGAGGTATTTTGTTTAACCAGGAATGTAGGCACCCTGTAGGGAAATGAGATCCCTCCTTTTGGAGAGAAAAGTTACAGGAAAGTAAATAAAGAAAATTATTTCAGTTCAAACAGAACATGTAGAGAAAGCTCATTTTTCTAAATTTTAATTCACAGTGTCCATGTTCTCTCTTACTCTTGGGTAGCAGTGAGGAGATGAGAGATAGTAAGTTGTTCTTTGATCTGTCATCATTTAATACCCTCATTTCAAGATATATTTTAGATAGCATAATATGAAAGAAAATCAATTCTAGACTAAAATTGCCTTTATTCTAACACTAGGTCATCTTTCTAGGAATGTAAAATTAACTTAATTTAATTGCTCTCTCTCTGATTTTTAAAATGTACAGGGATACATGTAATAGCTGACCCTTACATATCTATCACTTAACTTCAACAATTAACTCAATCTTGTTTTATTTTATTTTTATTGAGTTTATTGGTACATTTTAGGTATACAGCATAGTTGCACTCATTATTGGGATCTTGTACCTTTACATGATAGGTTTTGGTTCTCATTTTCTCCCCTTGTCCCTGCCCTCCCTTCAGCCCCTCCTCCCCTCCCCATTTACAAACACTTTATTTCCATTTTTTCATTTTGTCATATTTTTTGTTTTCCCTTATTACCTTTCCCCTACCCTTCCCACTTTCCCTACACCTTTATCCTGTTTCTTCCAATTTCACATTGTCTACTATACTATTAGGATCTTATTTATGATTATAGTTTTTCACACCAGAGAAACTATTTGGTATTTACACATGTGTGTCTTATTTATTTCACTTAGGAGTATGTCCTCAATATGTATCCATTTTCCTAGGAATGAATCTAATTTCTCATTATTTATGGTTGTTTTATTTTTATTGTAATTCACTTCCTTACACTATACTATTTTGAAACACATCACAGATCACATTAGATAGTGTTATTCATAACATTTTGGTAAGTATCTTTAAAACATAAGAAATATTTTAAAACAAAACTACAAAACATATTATCACTCTTAAAAATTAAACAAATTCCTTAAAATCATCAAATATACAATCAGTGCTTAAATTTATAATTATATTATTTTGTAATTTTCTTATAGTTTATTTAAATCATTTCCCAAATAATGCCAACTAATTCCAATTATTTGATATAGTTCTTTCTATGTATTCTGCTCCCATCTTTTTTCATGCAGTTATTGCCTGAAAAAAAAATTGATTGCTTGTCCTGTAGACCTTCCCACAGTCTATTTTTCTGATTGCATCCCTGCATGTTTAGCATGCCCCCTTGTCCTTTGAGTTCTCTGTGTTTATACCTACAAGCTTGAATCAGATGCAGATTCAGGGTCTTTTTTGGGAGGGCAAGAATTCTTCATAAATTAATGGTATTAGTTCTTTCAATAGGTAGCACATACTACTTGGTTGCAACTTTTTAGCACCTGTTTATGTTCAGTACCTGGATTCATTAGGGGTTACAAAACAGTGATATTCTTCATGATCTAACTAAAATACTTATAAAAATTTCCTCATTTACAATGAGATACTCACTTACTTAAGGAAGCTTGGATAAATGAATGATTTTCAAAATAATAAATTAGCACCCTTCATTGGTGATCAATTAGTTGATTAGTTAGTCTTCTAACTTCTTTAAAGCATCAATTCTGCTTTGGTACAATGGTTAAAATAATAATCCTTATCCAGACTGAGCCTTTGTGAGGGTCATATGCAATAGTGCTTGCAAAGCACAGGGCTTGGATCATAGAAACTGCTTGGTAAATATCAGCTGCTCTCACAATACCCATATAAATAATACAGACAATGTCAAGGCTTACTCACTCAGCCAAATTCTACCTCTTAGTAGAGAAACTATGTTAAAGAACTATATTAAAGAAACACAGATCAGGAAAGAGATTCTAATGAGATTTTCTGTGTACTGTGTATAGACTGCAAAATGATATGTATAATTCATTAATTTCAAGCTTCAAATTTAAACCATCAGAGCTGTCCAACCTTCCAATGAACCAAGGCTGTGCAGCTGGATGTGAGGCTATTCCTAAAAAAAAATAAAAAATGCCTTAAAATACTTGGGTTTGACGCCTGAGAAGCCCATGTTTATCCTAAGTTCCTCGCCCTCGTGTATATTTGTAAGGCAAAGGGGAAAAAAGTGTATACAAAAGCTGAAAAATTAGCAAAAATCCATACATTGAGATTCTCAAAAACATAGTATTAGAAGCAGATGCAGAAAGTACTGTTGGTAAGTCTTTAAGAGAATGATGTGATCTGCTCTAGAATTCATGAAGGAGCAATTTACAGAAAGTAGCCACATGAGACCCTACCATGTGAGAATTCAGGGGCTGACAGCTATCGTGAGCCCCTGTGTCTGTGACTTACATAAAGGAGAAATAGATCAAAGAATTCTTGCTCTGTGAACCATTGCAAACAACTACAAAGGGATGGATGAGTTCAGCCCTGTCACAAGTGCTTTTTGAAAGTATAAGTTAATGCTTGTCATATGTGAATTGATTTGTACTGATGTTGCCCTTGATATGCTAAAAAAAATCAGGATCCATTTATGCTTTTTTTGTAACAAAGTAGGTTCTTATCATTACTCCATAACATATTGTACCAAGAAGTTTTGCTATTGAGAACTTCCCTGAAATATTGAAGACTAGCTTGAATGTTGTAGTGAACACAGTAAATGTTACAGAGGATGTGCTTCAATCCTCTCCCCAACTTTAGGTTTTAACAAAATAATTGATTGGAAACAAGGACATTTTTCAAAAATAAAATTTTCAGTGGCCATGGGCTGAGTTGGATTATGATTTTGTTTTGTTTTGTGTTATTGTTGTTAGTCGTGATGGTAAAGGATTTTTTGGTTTTAGTTTTTTTGAGACAGGGTCTCACTATGTAGTTGAGACTGACCTGGAATTCACTATGTACCTCAGGCTGGTCTTGAACTCATAGCAATCCTCCTGCTTCAGCCTCCCGCATGCTGGGATAACAGGCGTGCATCACCACACCTGGCTTGGTAAAGGATTTTTGTTTGTTTTCTCAATCAAATATTTTCTTAGCAATTATTTGATATAAAAGAAGGTGAAAGATAATTTAAAAATTTAGTAGCACATGTAATCATCATACTACAAGAGAAAAAAATAACCATTAAATAGTAGATGAAGATTCATGGAAAACATAATCTGAACAGTGTCTTGAGGTCAGAGTTAGTTGCCAGTATTTTTTTTTTCTACAGGAGTCCCTTCCAGGGATGTGAGTGAGCAAGGCCCTGAACTAATCAGAAAAGTGAAGACTCATCATACCTGGGGCATCTGGAAACTTCAACATAGGCCAATGGCTAGATACCCAGCATAAAAATAACATCAGGCTGTTTAGCACAATAGTCCTCTGGTCTTCTAGACTGCGTGACCCAAGACCTCCAGTGGACACTTCAAAGCACAGAAAGTGCCAACACCTCAATAAGCTGTTTTTCCTATACACCTTGCAGTGTTGCCATGTAGTACCAGTGTTGCTAGAGTTAGTCTGTCTTTTTATGCTCTGCTGTCTCCTTTGAAGCACCACTCTCATGCTTTGGAGTCATTAGTAAATAAGTAATACAAGTACTACAATACCATCTATCAAATATTCAAGGTGGATAATGAGTGATGAACAGGTATGCATCATATAAAAAAGATGACTGATATTTGAGGTGGGGAGACAAAGAGATAGCATGAGATATTATCCTGTACTCAAAGTGACACACAATTGAAAGCAGAGGAGTTGTCTTTTTCTGTAATCTTCTATTTCATATCTTCAGAATTTGGTTCACTGAAACCACAGCAAACAAATCCATGTACATGGAAGACAGCTATATTTTCTAAGCTAATGAAGCTTTCAGATATCAGGAGTAGACAAACAAGGTGCACTTAGAAGTGAAAAGATTACAGTATTCCCATGTTACAGGCATGGCAAGGAGAGTAGATATTTCACCATCACACAGAAAAGTCAGCAAAGTTATGCAAGCCAATGCAGAAAGCCTCCTCCACTGACACTGTTCTCACATCCCAGAGTGACTATACTGCCTCCCCTCCTATGTGTACCTTTCAGGCCCAACTGCACTTGCCAGATGTTTGTGGTGTGTGAATGCATGAAGAAACAAGTCTGTTTATTTGAAACCAAGGCCAACGCTCAAATAAAGAATTTTTAAATTATTTCATAATGATGATGAATAAAATTAAAAGCTGAGTAAATTTAATACACCAAATTGACTATCTGTTCTTCCTAGTACTCTAGAGAACGATGAGATACCACCCAGAACCCTGTACCTTTGGTTCATTTCTTTTTCTTTTTTTAAATTTATTGTTACATTCTAGGTAGACAGTACAGTTACATTCATCACTGGGATCTAGTACCTTTACATGCCAGGTCTTGGTTCTCATTTTTTCCCCTTGTCCCCACACTCACTTCACCCTCCCCTCCCCGCTTCAAACACTTTAATTCCATTTTTACATTTTCTCATATTTTTTTCCTTTTCCCTTATTCCCCCTTCCCTATCCTTCTCACTGCCCCTAGACCTTTAGTCCTTTTCTTCCTATTTGCTAAGTGTCCCATTAGGATCTTGAGCACTGTTATAGTTTTTCACACCAGAGATACTATTCGGTATTTGTATATGTGTGCCTTATTTTTTTTTCACTTAGAAGTATAACCTCAAAATATACCCATTTAACTATGAATGAATCTACTTTCTCATTCTTTATGGCTGAGTATTATTCCATTTTATAGAAAAACCACATCTTTTTTTAAAAAATTTTTTTTCTTTTTATTGAGGTTATTGGTACAATCTAGGTATACAATACAATTACATTCATCATTGGGATTCTGTACCTTTACATAATAGGTCTTGATTCTCATTTTTCCCCTTGTCCCTGCCCTCCCTTCACCCCCTCTCCCCTCCCCATTTACAAACACTTTATTTCCATTTTTTCAGTTTCTCATATTTTTTTCCTCTCCCTTATTACCTTTCCCCCACCCTTCCCACTTTCCTTACACCTTTAGCCCTTTACTTCCTATTTCACATTATTAATTATCTCATTAGGATCCTGTGTACTATTATAGTTTTTCACACCAAAGAAACTATTCAGTATTTCAGTTAAAGAAATCTCTGTATGAACATTAAAAATAGGGAATCCTAAAATAAAACTAAAAAGGAAAGTAAAAGAGAAAAGGCAATGATGTGACATCAAAATAATCCTTAATTCTGGAGATGAAAATGGTCCCTGAACATATTTAAATTGCTTCTCGCTCTTATAGTCTTATTCTTTTTTTCATTATTTAGAGAATACTTTATTAGTTTCTGTAATCAAACCCTCGTAGATATGACCTTACATATTTAGTACGATGTGTTACCCCTGTACACATGGAAAAAAA